AAGTGTAATGGCTATATAAAGGATGCATAGGCACTTCTAATAAAAGATATTACATAGAATATTTTTTTAGAAAATTAGACTCCAATAAATAAAATTAATGCAATGAAATCAAGCTTTCATTCATACCTGAGCACATCAACACAATCGGATGTCTCTGCCTTAAACATTGCGATTCTAGCCATCATCACAGTAGCTGCTTCCTGGTCAAAGCTTGCTATCAGATGAGGTAGTTGGCCACCCATTGACGAAGAATCAACCCAGTTTCTGCAAGCTGTAGTCACTCTAATACGGCGTTGACCACTTCCATGCTGATATTGAGTGATGAATTGGACATAGCCGCGGCCGCCAGCAGGCATACCCGAGCAACCAGACTGATTGCTGCTGCCACTAGTACCTGAATTTGCAACCTCAAAATATATACCCAGTGTGGTGTTAGGCGTCATTCCGTTGATTCGCCACACGGAAGTACGGCCAACGCCAATCTCAAGATCACCAGTATTTGATGTTTTCATGTTGGCAGAAAAGCAAGGACCAATGCAACCAGAGACCTTCAGCTCACGTGTTGTCTATGCAATTGATAAGAATAAGAGGCATATAAGAGGGTTTTCACGAATCGCTGAATTCAAAAAAAAACAAACAAAAAAAACTAATAGCATGCGACAAAAAGCTTACAGAAAATAGTAAAGAAAGAAAACATTAGCAATAAGTAAAAAAAGGAGAGATGAATCCTGCTATTATCCTGGAGAAAATAAAAAGCTCATACCAGCTTTGAGTTTAAATAGTGCCAATTGCGAAAAACAATAAATTGCTGCAGATCTTTCCATTTTACGCTTGTTCAGACAAAATTTTCTCTCGCCTGCGAGCCTTCTGATTCTCAAACAACTTCGTAGGTATATAAGGTGTCAAGAAAATTCATACAAAAATATAAGCAGTTATAAAAAGAACGGAATACAGAGACATAATATTCTGGAGATAGAGCATAAAAAATAGACAAAATTAAAATTGAGCTATCTATGAAAATTTGTTTTCCTAACTTACCTTAACCTCTAAAGTGCCAGCAAAAGCAGACTTTAAAAAACCGTTAGCGTCACAAGCAAAGACACGCCGAAAAGTCTGCTGAAAGAGGGATGAAGCAAAGCTGTCACCCATAACTATATGCCCACCGGTGTAATTAGCCAGGTACCGCATTTCGTGAAGTCCTGTTTGGTCTAATGAACAGCTGAAGAGATCGATTATATGCAGATTCTGTGCAGCCCGATTAGCCAAGCCTTCATAATGCTAAAATATTTTTGTAAAAAATTAAAGTAACTCAGTGATATTAAATAATGATATTAGAAACAGATTAAATGAACATAAATTATCAACAAAAGTTGAATATAAAGGCAGATGAAGATGCACCAAAGAGCAGTGTTAGAGATAAGGAACTAAGCTCGAGGAGAGATTTTGCCTCGGCTACGCTGCTGACTTAATAAACAAATATCTGGAGAATAAAATGTCATAATAGCATTGAAAATTCATGCGAAGAAAAGTTGGGTTTCGAGGAATCTATTGTTTTATAATTGTTGTGCCTAATTTCAGTTCGAGTAAAAGTGTTTGGTGAAGACATTCGTAGGTCGATCTCACCAGAAGACGACGGCGGATTCCTCTTGGCCGACTGTCGATTGGCTTTGATGGAACAATCGTGTTCACGTTACTTCCTAGGTAATCTCCTTCAATTCCGGTGAAAACATGCTAAGCTTTCGTACGTCGTATGATGAACATCATCAGAGCAGGGCATCATC